GAATAAAAACCTACGCGCGCGTTTTGCCGACGATTTGTTCAAAGCGGCTAGAGGCACAAGCAATTGGCAATCGCGAGTAAAGAGCAAATGTCGCCAATACGAAACTACTCTTCGTCGTAAATGGGTGATTTGAAAAATAGTTGTTAAAATAGCATATTTAGAATCCGAAAATAATGATATAGACCGTTTTTTCTGTACTCTTTTGTATTAAATTTATTAAGAATATGTAATACCAACTTCAAAAATGATTCATCTTGCGTAAATGTAAAAAACAAGTATCGTAATCAGTCATCGTACTATGTTTATAATATTTTTAACTATGTTTTGGTAAATAATGCCCAACATTAATATGTACCTAGATTTTGTATATGAAAAATACCTTTCTTTCATGTGCTTAGACATGAAAAATTTTGAGGCAGTTGCATGCCATAAACTGTTAAATTGTATCATCACTTTTTCCCTAATTTTGAATCATTCCAGCTTATTTACCGTGGAAACTTTAAAAATATTTTTCAACCCGGCCCCTCCGCTATCGGACGATTTCTAAAATACCCAAGGAATAAATACGCGTGGGTAAATTTTTATCCTTAACCAAATTACAGGCATGTTTAAACGTTATTTTTCGAAGGAAAGTTAAAAAAGTCAGTAACCTAACCGCTTTGTTCCACAAACAGATTTACAAAATCTGTAGCTAATTTTCATCGAAAAACTAAGTACCGTAACCACCAGTACCGCAACCTAAATTAGATATAATGCATATGATTTTAATGCTTTTTTAATGAATTTTTTTTCTATAAGTTTTAGTTTAGTTTCCGTTTTCTATGATTAAAACAAGTGAGAAAAGTCGGCTATTAATCTAATCTTTTCATTTTTACCGTAGAAGATGAAAATCAAGTCGAAAACTGCAACTATTTTGCAAATCACCCATATATATACGAGCGAGAAGAAGGCATAGTCGGCTCGGATACGCGCGCGAACGTGCAGAGAAGCGCATGTGATTTTTTAAATACGAAACGTGATCTGACAATATCATTCGTCACACGTTTTTTGAAAACGATGGAAAAGTTTTAGCTTTCATATACGAAACGACTCCATACAATCGCGAGTGCGTTTGTACTTGGATGGTCCGTTTTTTCATCTCTTGCACACGTTCAATAATAAATAACTCACATGTAATTTTCGAGAGAAGAGTGCAAAAGTGATGATAAACTTGTGTGTCGAGAATTTATTTTAAGACAGAGGTGCATTCAGATGATTATGAATTTTAGACGGTGTATAGAAGATAAAATGAGGCCTTGAACACAAATTCCTAAAATTTCAGATAAAGTGATTAGTTATTAGGAAGAACTTTTTCATCGTAATAACGTCGTGATCAAAACTTGATAGATTATTATTAGTTTCGAACCAAACAACTATGAAACTTTTATATAAAAATAATTTTTTTATATTTTATGATAAGAAACAAAAAACTAGTTTATTAATTTTTGTCTTCCATCATAATAAAATTCAAAAATAGTATAGACAGTTCATAAGAGAAAAAAATTAAACTTAGTATCTAAACAAGCATTTGAATTTATTTTTGTACTTATTTCACGTGCTAAATATACAACATGAACTTGACTCAGAAACTTATATCTGTAAAAAAAAATTTCAGGAGTCATTTCATATAGAGCCACCCACCCAGTGATTAAAAACATACCAGTGAATGAAAGCACTTTTTTAAACAAAAATTATTAATTGATAACGACATTATTCATGAACGAAGAATTTTCATACTATTCTTGGGTATTATTGCTAACTATTCGAATGGTTATCAGGTTCAGAATCAATATAATTTAACGATAGAAATTAATTTACGAACGCATCGTTCGCTAAGCCGTGAAATACGGTCATTTTGTAATCATCGCTGAAGATCGTTAAAATTTGTAAGATCCACTGTAAAAGAATGAGCAGCTTAAAACGTTTTATACCGGACTAGTTGCCTTTAAAACTGTCATTTATATATTAAAAAATTGCATTTCCAGTGAAAAATCAAGTATTAATTAGTTGATTTTACTCTTTTTCAACTTTCATTTACTGGTGTTGCGAATAATTCGCACTTGCCCAGTAAATGAAAGTACAAATATAAGCAAATTTTGATTAGAGTTTTGAACCAATCCTCATTTATGAGGTCTTAAAATGTTTGTAAAATAGTCTTCTCTACTCTAATAAAACAGATTTTTAAAAGTCGGGCGCCAAGATATCTCATAAAGTACTGCACTTGAAAATTTAAAGTTTTTTCATCATTATCATTTTTTAGAGCCCTTAAAAGAGCCAAAAAAGGGCAAAAAGAAAAAAAATTTTCCGAAGTCCGCCATTTTATCAATTTTTTTTCAATTATTTAGTTTCAACCTCCAGCAAATGTCATTTAGTTTCAGAAAAACTTCAAATTTTTGGATTCGGGCAAAAACTGAAGGCGTTAGTTCGGTGCCCGTTGAGGTATCTTTTTTTAACACTACCTTAATCAAACCCTGCTAGGCGTAGATGTAGATACATAATTCGATGGTAGATACATAATTCGATATTTTGGTCTGAAAAATTTGTAATTATAGTTAAATACATGTTTTATATATACCAACAGACTTGGCTGTCATGTGTAATTTTTGAGACGCTACATGAGAGCCTCCCCTTAATGCTTTTATGTATTAATTTAATCAAGAAATGGCAAATTTGCCACTATTTTTCCTTATTTTTTTCCACATAATATTATATATCACTTGTTGATTCTCCCAACTTATTTTTCAACACAGTTCATAACAACTCTTGTCTCCGATTCATACCAACTCATTTCCTGGTAAAAACAGACTCATAAACATTGCTCATTATAGTAAAAGAACCGAAAAATAGTCCCGAAGATAATATTTTTAGTTTAAAGTTTTATACAAAATAATTAAGGCCTTTGGAACATGCACTTGAAGACCAGAATTCGTAATGATTCAAAGAACTACGAAGAGCAAAATAATGGTTAATTGATTGTACTGTTTGACCAAATAATTCAAAGAAATGTTTTCTTTTTAAAAATTGCCTGCTATAACTACTAATTAATAGTACATTGCGTAACTGAGACGGAGGGTTGTCTATCTTGTAAGAGTGTCAGTTCGCAGCCCGAGCGTAGCGAGGGTTGCATTGACACAAGCCTATTTCAGTCCTTTCTTTTGAATATCTGACTAAAGACTGTTTTTGCTAATTAAGTTTATTGAGAAGATTTTTGTGCCGGGACAGAGATTCAATGTATGAAAATTAAAAATTGTTTTCCGTAAGTTCTTATAAAATCATATTAGAGCTATAGTTATATTATGATATTTTTTCCAAAGTCATTATTTTAATCATCGTAACTAATCTTGAATGTAACGATAAAATAATGAGCATCATCATAAGATTTTTTTTTTTCATGAGCTGTAATTTAGAGTAATCGATCTAGTTTACACTGATAATTACTTTTAATACGTCAACTCGACATTACTTTTACGTTGACTCTACTTTAATATTTATATTAGGCTCTAATACAAATTTTTACAAGTGCTCGATGGTTTAGTCGAGAGTACAGATGAGTAAGCCTCGAATGAAGGCCAAGGCCGTATGATCATATAAAATGGGGATTTTTTGGAAGTTCAAGAAAGTAACCACTACAATTAAATTGCGAACCCAAAGATGTTTCCCAGAGCCAAAAATACATAATGAGAAAGCATATTTTTCTCCGATTGATTATTCTAGATTTAAATGTTAAAAAAATTAGAAAATTGTCTAAAATTAGAACTCGTAAAAAACTTTCACGGTGTTTTGGGACTCTCTATTACTTCTCTCCTACTAACAAAAATTTAAAAAATGTAGTTGTTTTCACAAAATTATAAGCGCCTCGATTCTATCCGGTCATTCACCTCGATTTCAGCTCAAAGAAAATTCTAGTTTTCTACGTGATGTTTTCACTTTGAGACTGATCGAGCAAAGTAACAAAAGGAAGATAATACAGCATTGATTCAAGATCAAGTTTCGAGAAGAATCGGTCAATTATCGGTGTATCGACTGTGTCTCGCAGCACGTCATCATTCTTCTATCGCAAACGCATATAGACTGAAGTTCGAAGCGATTTCAATATGAACTTGCACATTGAATTTCTCTATTTGTATCTGTGAACTTGCAAATATATATTTTTGTGTACTTGAAAATGTACAAATAAATTATTAGCTTGGGGAGGAAGAGATTGTTTGTTTCTCACCGACTGCTACTGCTGTGCAGTGCTATACGAGACGGCTGTCGTTATCGAGCGACATAGCCTGTGCTGTGCTGTGCACCGAGAGCGTAAGATAGAGCTATTTTCAGGTCTTTTATCTGCAAAAAGAAGCGAAGTATAAAGTCTCTCCGTGGCTTATTATAACGAATAAACTCTCGGCTACAATATGGCCCCGCGACTGGCACGTGGCGTATGTCATGCTCACGACGACTCGGATTATTATTGTTTTATTTATCTATTACTAGACAGTGTTGCGTGTACCACGATTGTTACGTTCGCGCGCTATATATATTTATTTTTTTATTGTTTCCTTCCTCGTTATGAGCGAAGTTTATCGTTAATATTACGTGTCAAGTGCACACACACACACGCCAGAGAAAAATTACTTACGATGCGCAGAATAAATATTTGAGCTCCTTTTGCACAAACGAACAGCAGCAGCAGTTAAAGAGAGAAAATCGAGTTGTTTTATTTAATCATTCAGAAATAAAGTGAGCGCAAGTACTTTTCCCCGATTACACATTAATATCTTCTTGACTGGCGTTTTTCTTGCTACTCACTTTTATATGTATATATTTCAATAACATTGTACCGCACGTACAGAGGGTGAACGATATTATACATATATTGCGTGTGCGCCGCCGCGAGGAGAAACAAAAGACGCGACTGCAGCAAACGGAACTCGTTCTTCAGTTCGCGTATGTTATAAAATATACGGCGCAGGGTTCAATCCAGGTTATAAAAATTTTATCGTTCTGGCCTCGAAACTTTTTCAGTCACGTCGAATCAAAATCAAACTTTTCGTTAAAAAATTACACACAAGTTTACCCAAAAAGTCGTTTACACCATTCGTCAAAAGTAAGTACGATGTTCGCGTTCAAAAATAAGTCACGCGTTTGTTAAACCAACCTTTGTAAAAATTTTTTTACCGTGTACTCTCTCGCGCATTGACAAACGTTAATTATCGTTTAACTTTGCACTGTTGAATAATCATATATATGTAACCTCTTCATATATTTTCCCAGCGATAAATCAGAAAAAAACCGAGCAATAATCATCCGAGTATAGCATAGACTTTTACAAATAAGATAATATTTTCTCGAATCAATTTCAACGCAAATATTTTTTTTTCTTTTTGTCCAAAGCAACGACAAACATGTCGTACGCTCTCTGCTACGCCAGTCCGTGCACGATTCTGTGCGACGCGTGCGAGCCACCTAGACCGAAAAAATGTCCGACTCCGTGTCCACCGCCCAAGGAAAAGTGTCCCATATCATCGCCCAAGGACATAATCATCCACCAGAAGGTGAAGTACGGGCCGGACTTCGTTCCCTGCTGCATGAGGAAGTACGCGCTGCCTTGCAGCAATCACGAAGACTGTCTGGTCTAAGAGAAAAGGAAAGAGTGTGCGTGCGACGAGGAAAAATCGTAAAAACTAAAAATAACCGCAAAAAAATGTAAATAAAGAAGAAGAAACGAGGTAAAAATAAATTAACGACGTGCTGAAAAAAAAAATTAACTAACAACAAATCGCGTTTTGTATCTAATAAGATTTCGAGATATTTCCATTTTGCGCTTCGCATTACATCATGTTATATTTAAAATGTTGGAATCTATTACAAATAGGCGCTTCATTACGGAGTCATTGAATAACAGAATGACGTACACAAGAAAAGATGATGAAGAAAAGGAAGTTTTTCTCTTATCCCTATCGTGGCGGTATTTTTACAGATACAGCATTTTAATCTCGAAACAAACATGCAAACAAAAACTAAGTCTCTTCTAGCAGTTTCTTGTGTATGCATCGAGGCAGTTATAGAAAAACAGAAAATGAAATGATACGATCTCAAAAAGGCCTGTACAAGAAAGCGTCGGTCAACGAACTCGTCGTGTGAAAACTACGCGCATATATAATGCACACAGCACTTAAATGGGGCCATCGGCAGACAGCAGCAGCTTTCAGAAACTTTTTCCTTTTCATCAAAGGAATGAGTTTATTCTAGAAATGCCTGGATGGATAACGTGGATGCTGCTACTCCCGCGGGTGTAACAAAAGATTCGTCGAAATAGAATAAGCTGTATTATATGCGAGGAAGATTCGAATCGGAGAAAAACGACTCGCGGAGTGTGTAACCTCGTTTTTAATACACGCTCGCATGTGCAGAATCTCGTAAGATGTGCTCTTGAACTTGAGCGTAGCGCCGCGTTTAGAACAACGCTCGAGGCGCATAAAGATATAAGTATGCACACGCATACCCCGCGATAAATGGCTCTAATAAACGGGTCTTGAACTATACGATAAGATACGATCTCCTAGCGAGAGCAGCAGCAAACGAGAAAGAGAGAGAGAGAAATGAGGTTGAATTTTGGTACCGAACGCTGTGCGCGCGCGAATATTGCATTCAACTCGTCAATTTCTCTGCGCTCCAGGAAGGTCAAACAAATGTTTTTCTTCGTCTCTTTTCGTCGTTTATAATTAATTAACTTGGCGTGAGCGCACTCCCCGCTGTATTGTCTCTCACCACGTACTCACCTATAGCCGTCTCACTCGCTCTTTCCGAGTGACTGAATGAACAAATTTGATTTCCGATCGGGTTGTTGAATGAGACCACAATCTCGATTACACGTTAATCAGATAAATCTCCGAGTTCACGTTTGATTAACTTGTGCAAATGTACCAGACGTTTCCTTAAAAATATTCGGAAGGTGTCCGATGTGTAATGTACAAGACGTTTTCTCTCTCTCCCTCTCTCTCTTTCTGATTGACAATGAAAAACATTCGCACGAACGAGTTAGAAAATACACGTGATCGCTTTTCTCTCTTTTAGCGCGAAACACGGTCACGAACGGGGCAAAAATGATAAGTTTTCTCGAAAATTTTTATTTGTAAACACTGTAGAGGTATATATATATCTATACGCCGAACGAAAGAAGATCGAAGAAAGAGTCTATTTGTAGGTCAGAAGTATCAACTCGGCGCGCGAGAGAAGAGCTCGATATCTCGGACTCGCTTCGCGGCAGTTTGATGTATATAGTTGTATGTATACACATCGGAGACTAGTTTAATAAGATTTTCTCTTTTCTCGGTCTCTCTCTCTCTCTCGCTCTGGCGAGTGTTACTTGCGCTTTTTTCGGCCTATATTTGGAAAATCATCTGACGCGCGAGCCAAAGGCGTGTATTATAGTATTATAAGCTGCGGCGCAATGAGAGCGTGTCGGAGAGCTATATAGCACCACCAGTAGTAAGTCCATTGACCCCATCTCTCTCTCTCTCTCTCTCTCTCGTCGAACGAAATTTTTCGCTGCATTTCTGCAGCTATTGTCTCTCTCCGCGTTTATTATATGCACGTCGCGGTTATAGTTGCAGTTGGTTTTACGAGCCCAGCAGCGCCTCAGGTGAAACAATATATTTGCAGCGCGGAGTGACGTCCCAATGCAATCAATACGAATTGTTTTTCCAGCTTCGAATTTGTATGCAACGTCGTTCGAGTTCAATATTATCGATAAAAACGATTCGATGTATGCGGGACGATTCAAAGATTTTTTTCGTAAATAGCGGCTCGCTTTTTGGCGCATAATAACGTAGTAGAACGAATAAGATCAGGCGCCAAGCAGAGGCTGTTTATTTTTTCAGGAATTCCGCGCGTGCATCTAGAAATGCGCGCGAGTTAACGAAGCAAAGCGAAGAAAATCAGGGGGAAGCCAAGACTTTTTCCCTCGTTCAATTATTATGAAATTTCGTTTTCTAATCCCACGGCGCTCGCCACTCGACATATATAATGCACACGTAGTAGTACGCGTGACACGCGCCGCGCTTCGCGTTTTCTCCCGCGCGCGCGGCATGATTCCTGCGCTGCTGCTACTGCTGCTTCTCTTTCGTTTCTTACCTGAAGATATATATAAGTGCGTAGTAGTAGCTGCAGCGCAAATTCATATACGTATATATAGAGAGAGAACGGCCAAAGAAAAGAAGGAAAAGTGAGTCAAGTCGGTCGAAGGAAAAGCTAAGAGAACGAGAGCATCTCGGATGATCTCTGTACTACTTCCTCTATATAGCTGCGCGGCAAAACTCGCTTTGCTGCTGCTGCACGTGCACAGTGCAGCACTTATAATGCGAGCCAAGTTGTGTTGTACATAAATGCACACGTATGTATACTGTATACAGAGGCCCGCGAAGAAAAACAGGAGGAAAAGAGAGAGAGTTTGCCCGATCGTATAAAGTAGCTAGAAGAATTGCACTTTCTTTTAACTCTCTTCTTTTTCGTATACGCGCGCGCCTCCGATGTATCACGCGTATAGCACATAAAGCAAACTACATGTGAGTGTCTCTATGCTCACGCGGCTTTCGGCATCTTTTGACGTTCGAACGTATATGGTTTGTAGTTTTAGCCTTCCGATGAACTTGAAAAATGTTCACAATTTCTGATCTTGCTATGGTTCAGAAATCTCGATAAGTTTCGGAATGATCAAATGTTTGTTTAATTTTCAATTGGATGATTTCGCATCAAAAGCTCATGGGGAAGTAAAAAAAAGATAAGTCTGAATTATACAACAAAGGTAGCGGTGAAACCATAAAATAATAATCGATACAATGGCCAGGCCCGGACTGGCCTTAGGGAATTTGGGAGAATTCCCGGTGGGCCTCTCTTAAAAAGGGCCGGTTTTGTAAGTAAACTGGGCCGCACTTACAAAACTCCCGATCTAAAAACCTATCCAAGTCCGTAACTGAAAATGGCATTCTAGTCCATTTTTAAAATCTGTGACTTATACAATTATTTGACTTTGCCACTTGCGGATTCGCAGATAAAGATACTCGCCATCTAGTGGTAAAAGTTTTAAGTGGTATGACCATGGAAAACTGGTTTCAATTTTTGCAAACAATTAAATCGTCATTTTCAAGACATTTAAAAACGCGCTGAATATTTGTAGCATAATTGAGACAAAAAATGGCCAATTCATCTCGTGAGCTTTTTCAAAAAATTACCAATTTTTTAAAGCAAAAAATGTAAATTCGAAATCCTGAAATGCAAAATAACGTTACTCGTCTTGCGTCCAGTTTTTTTTTTACATAGAAGCACGCAGGTGTGTGGCTTAGATGATTGATTGATTGATTAGTTTTTTTATTTGGGACCGAAGGGTACAACCCCATTTGGCCCCGGTGCAATGAAAATACAGTGGTATGAATTACGTTACACCTAATTTGAACAATAAATAGCAAATAGTAAGAAAAGAAAACAGTTGAAGTAAAACAACTTGAACTTGAAGATGCGCAGAGCGTCCCGAAAGCCATACACGCGGACGAGGCTGACGTTGGATCGAATCCCGCCTCGGTTCATAAAATAGCAGTATACAGATCCGATATGTATCCGTGGAGATCTCTGATTGATCTGGGCTAATTCGATACCAAAGGTCAGCTGATGCTGACTTTTGGTATTGAATTATCGATTAACTTTTCATCGAAGCTTTTTCTTTTGAAGTGAATAATCCTACATTTTTCCTCGTGAACAGGTACCCAAAACAATATAATAAAAAAACTCTATTTTCTCTACTTACAGATCATGAATTTGTTTATAAATCCTTTCCATTTTGAGTTTGTTATATTTTATTTACTGTCTTTCTAGTTGATAGCCCTTGGAGAACCCATGCCAATTTTACGAACTTTAAGTCAAATATCACAACATTTTCTTATATACCTGGTAAAAACGCTCAACTGTAATAATAACCTTATAATAATAATGTATAATAAAATATCAAGCACTTTTTAAATAATCTAAAAATAAATATTTGACTAATTCAAAAAATGTGGACCAGTTTTCAAACACTGGCTAAACGATATTTTAAGACCCCACCGCTAGGTGGCGAGTACCTATATCTATGAACCTGCTAATGGCAATTAAATACTAATTACATGAGTCAAAGCACGGATGTGACTGACTGTTTTTTCTCGAAGATATTGAGCATCCAAAAAATGTTGATCATTTCTACCAAAAATAAAAAGTGATATTCGTTCAATGTAGATAGTTAATATTAACATTTGAAAATATTTACTAGAAATAAGATCTTATCACTGAATATAGTATAAAATTTGAATAGAAAAATATAACTGGCCAAACATCAAGACTTCTCACAAAAAAAGTATAGATGAAAGAATGAAGTTTCTTTTATTTCTCAAAATTACAATCTATTTCTTTGTCGTTTGTTTTGATTATATAGAGACACATCAAACAAGGCAGCGAGCGATGATTAAATTATGTGCATATGCAGGAGTACACACACAAAAGATATGCGGCATATTCGAGACGGAGTCTGTAAAAGCCGCGCCTCGCAATCTTCTTTCGTTTCCTAAAAGCATATAATAATACGGTACATATCCATCGTATAGACGAGATAACAGCTATATAACGCAGACTGTGGCAATTTCAAAGACGTTATACGGC